AGTGGCCCCCACCACAAAAAACTGTCTCCCCTATGGCCATGGGCTAGTGACATGCAACCTAGACTTGACCACGATGTCCCATCCATTAGGGCAAAAAGTGGGACCCACATTCAATGGTCCCCAATCATGCACATTTCCATTACTTGAGGTCTCCCTCTCTCTCCAACACTCTTTTTTAGAGAGAGAGAGAGATGGCCACGCTTGAAATCATGATTCCAAAACACACATTTCCCAAAAGAGGAGAGGATGTGATTGGTGCAAATGACATTTGTGGGGCCCTGTTTGGGTGACAAAATAGGAATTTCTAGGGATACGGGGAAGAAGGGAGGGGGTTGAGTGGGAGGAGTAAAGAGTGGCGCATCATTACATTATTTCATGAGAAAGCAAAAGTTGTGAAATTGCATCTTTCATTCAGGCGAGGAAGCATTATTATTCAATGGGGAACAAGTGTTTCTGTACGTGTACCTCACGTTACTCTCTGTTTTTGTGTTTCTCTTTATGTCCTTGTGTCTGTCTCTCTCTCTCTCTCTCTCTCTCTCTCTCTCTGTGTTTTCGAGGAGAGAGAGCGAGTGTGAAATATCGGTAGAGTGAGAAAGTACTGCCCAGTGCCTTTGAAAGAATGGGGAAAGGACACTCGTTCTGTGTTTGCGTGTGAGAGAGAGAGAGAGAGAGAGAGAGATTGAATTCAGAGTTCATGAGAAACATCGTGGCAATCGGGTTGGATGGGGGTCCAAGTCCTTCCTAAATCTTGACCCATCTTGATATTTAAATGTATTATAAAAAAAAAAGTCTCCGGACACAACATCTAATTGATGAGAGATATGCATGATCTCTCTCTCTCTCTGTTTTCGAGGAGAGAGAGCGAGTGTGCAATATCGGTAGAGAGAGAAAGTACTGCCCAGTGCCTTTGAAAGAATGGGGAAAGGACACTCGTTCTGTGTTTGCGTGAGAGAGAGAGAGAGAGAGAGAGATTGAATTCAATGCTCATGAGAAAACATCGTGGCAATCGGGTTGGATGGGGGTCCAAGTCCTTCCTAAATCTTGACCCATCTTGATATTTAAATGTATTATAAAAAAAAAAGTCTCGGACACAACATCTAATTGATGAGAGATATGCATGATGGATCGCTTATTAGTGTATGAACAATTCGTAGAGAGATGAATGAGTTTTTAGTTACAATATGTCTATATCGGGGGTTAACATTGAACCCATTCCTCGTTGCCCTAGTTACTAACGACTTATCTAGGCACCTACAAGATGGGGTACCATAGTCAATGTTACTCGTAGATGGCATGGTTACGACTAGAAATGACGTTAGCACAAAATTAAAAACTTTAGAGGGCGACTCTAGAATCTAAAGTTTTTAAAATTAGCCAAAATAAGACATAGTATATCGAATACAAGTTTAGTAATAATAAAATAGAGACGAGAAAATAGTTAATATTGACGACCAAGAAATACAAAAAAAGAACGCACTTGCGATATATTGGGTCGATAATCCAAAAAATAGAGAGATTAAAGAAGATGTCGTACATAAAATTAGAACTGGGTAGACAAAGTGGAGATGTGCAATCGGACTTTTATGTGATCGCTGCATACCAATGAAGCAGAAGGGTAAGTTCTATAGGACAGTGATGAGACCAACTTTGCTCTATAGGGCATAATGTTGGGCAGTCAAAAAATAATATACTTATATAATGAATATAGCGGAGATAAGGATATTGAGATGGATGAGTGACAAGACAAGAAGAGGTAGAATTCGAAATGAATACATTCGAAAAAAGTTAGGTGTAGCACCAATAGGCGATAAGATGAGAGAGAGTAGTTGAGGTGGGCTGGCCATGTGTGGTGCAGACCTAATACAACACCGGTTAGAAAGTGCGAGTTAATTCAAATGGAAGGCTAAAAAAGGGCAAGGGCTAGAACCAAAAAGACATAGTTGGAAGTAGTGAGAAAATATATATGTCCTTAATAAGGGTATAGCCCTTAACAGAGCAAAATGACGAATCAAAACTCATGTAGCCGACCTCAATTAGTTAAGAAACAACTTTGACAATAATGATGACTGTAAAAAAGTGTAGTTTGTATAAAGTTCCAACCTTAAATGATCAAAGTAAGTTGCACCTCAAGATTTTGTTATGAGATGTAATTTTGGTGTAAGATGGTGAGATAATATATTTTTATCTCTAATTATACAATTTTAAGCTCTAAAAATGCACAACTCAAGCAGATCTATAAACACAATAAAATTTGGAAAATGGTCAGTCCATATATCGTGTTACAAGATGTCGAGATGATCAATTAACTATTTTTTTCAATATCAAAACAACCTTTTTCGAAAGATTTTAGAGGTGCACCGTAATTATATATATATATATATAGTACAACTTATATCTTTTCTTTTATCTAGACTCAGACCTTAGTTGATCTGCATGTAGGGTGTGGGTCTTACTGGGACCCATCCTGCTCGGATCAACCCTAACCAACACATTTATAACTTTAGTTAGAAATGAAATAGTGAGAATCTAAAGATTTCAACCCTAACCCAATTAGAAATGAAATAGTTAGAATCTAAAGATTTCAACCCTAACCCAAACCCAAAATCTATTTCTTTTTTTCTTGAAGATAATCATTTAGTTATAATTAAATGGATACCATAATTTCAAAAAAGAAAGGGTGGAAAGGAAATATGTAGATTCATTGTCTAGGAGAATAGGGTAAAAAGGAAGTAGGTATATTCATTCAAAATTGGGTCTAAATTCCAAAAAGAGAAAAGAATGAGAGCAAATCATTCATGTTTTATGCTTTAATAATGAAGGAAGTATGCAAGGGAGTAAAAAGAAGAAAATCAGGAAAATCATTGGTATTTGATGTGGGTCTCTTCGAAGAAACAGAACCCCAGGGGTCCTCCTCTCCTTTATTGGGCCCACCACCATGACTTTGCTGATATCACGCTGAGATTTGGACGGTGTGCACTTTTCACTCAATCCATCCCAAACTCCCCTTCTTCTATTAGTGCTTGGACTTTTATTACCTCAATTTTTTCAGATTAATCTTTCATGAAGACCTTAGCTACCCTTAACTTCTTCTCTCATGACAAAATCATACTCCCACTTTCAGGCAATACGCCCGGCCCGATCAGCTCGGCCCTAAAAAGTGGGACCTGAGTCACAACTTGTGGCCTGAGGGTTGGACTAGGGCCAGTGCCGGCCAGATTTGGCCTTCTTTTTTTTTGGATTTTTTTTTTTTATTATTATTTTGTCCTCATTTGCTTTTGGGCCAGGCCAGTTGCCACCCTTTGAGGCCCTTGCAAATCCTGTATTACATGTAATGCCATGCCGGATTTGGATTCGGTGAGTCAGATGCATTTGCATTGGTTCTATGAGGATTTAGGATCGGAAAAAAAAATACTGCATTATGTAAAGCCATTTTTGCCTGACATTTATGAATTTGGAGCTCTAAAAATAATGTAAATACGATGATCTTCCAAGAATTAAAGTAAATGGGGTTGTATACTATAAGACCATTCATTTTTTGTACAAAGAGGTCACAATTATTTTTAGCCATTAAATGAGAAATTTGATTAATTGAATTGTGGCACAATATCCAAGAAATTTTATTTTGGACTTTATACTGTATGAATAGCATATCCCCAACCGCTCGATTTCACATTTAATGATTAATAATAATTATGGCGTAAATGATCTTATTATATGCACTTTCAAGACACATAGGCTAATGAACGTACAAAATAAACTATTTTTAACGCTAAAAATTCATTTAGTTTTATATTCACATTTGTGGTGATCTAGATGATAGGCATGCAGATGGATTTTGAGGTGGTAAACTCACTCTAAACCCTAGCCTCATTTATATATGATCCCTGAAGCCTAGGAAAAGAAATCCTAGTGTTGATAAACCAGGAAATAAGAATTCAACGATTTTTAACATGTTAGTGGGTGAATGGGCCCAACACTTGGACTTGGACCTAGATCTGGATCGAATTGAGGTCAACCTGGCCTCTGATTGCCACCCCTATCTAGCAAGGCTTGTGAGCAAGGGTAGGGTGGTTTAACTACGAGCTGTAATTCTATTAATGAAAAGGGGTCCACTGACTTTTCATTAAAAAAAAAAAAAAAAAAAAGACCTAAGGATAAAAGATCACATTGTCATTGGGAGAAAAGGTAGGGGTATATAGGTATTTAGTGCAGGCACTTACTATAATACTGCAGGCAAGTAAAGCAGGTCATAAGCATCCCATACTTGTTGGTGGTTCCTCGTTATTTTCAGTGCACTTTTACAGAGATTAGGCTGCAAAAGTTGCACCACCATCAGTCTGAGAAGAAGACAATATCCCCCCAAGACCCACCAACTTTCCATTTTTTTATGCCCAAAATGACCTGTCATCATGTGATTTTGTTTCTAATTATTGTTGTTTCCCCAACCAACAGTACTCTCTAACCCCTCCACACATGGGTTTCATCAGGTTTTTCAGCTTATTTAGAGAGAGAGAGAGAGATGGAGAGTTTCAGCAGGAAACACAAGTGTATAAAGAGAGAAGAAGGAGAACCTCCCATGTATGTAGAGAGAGATATACAGTTGCAGAAGGAATCTCCCATGGAGAGAGAGAGAGAGAGAGAGAGAGAGTGATAG